ACTAGAAAGGGGCCGGAGGGGAGCGGGTGGGAGGAGAGGGGAAGCGAGTGATAAAGAATAAAGAATAGAATAAAGAATAAAGCGGAATAAACAGCATGCGCAGGGAACGAATTCTTAGACAACTGGATCTGACTGTTGCAAAATGGGTGGGGGGGGGGGGCGAAAAAGGGAGAATGTTATTCATAAAATCACGAATAAAACATTTGGTGATACCGATGATTAAAAGTAACAAAAGGAAGACAACTGAAAGGATAAAGGAAGAGTGCTGATGCTGTGTATGGATGATACCCTCTCTCTCTCTCTCTCTCTCTCTCGCTCTCTCTCTCTCTCTATCTCTCTCTCTCTCTCTCGCTCCCTCTTCTCTCTCTCTCTCTCTGTATAATACATACATATAATATATATATATATATATATAATATATATAATATATATATATATATATATATATATATATCTATTGTATATATATATATAGATACTATAATATAATATATATAATATAATATATATAGATAATATATAGTATGATGTATGTGTAATAATTATATATACATGTATATTATATATATATTATATATATATTATCTATATATGATATATATATATACTATATAATATATATATATATAAGTATTTGTAGTATGTGGTATATATACATTGGTAGATTTATATATATATTATATTATATATATATATCTAATATATATATCTATAGATATATATAGATATATATATATATATGTATATATATATAAAGAATGTATATATTTATAATACACACACACAATGTACTTACACATTTTTTAATAATATAACATTAAATAAATTAATATTAATAATAATAATAATAAAAAATAATGATAAAAGGAAATAAAAAATTAATGATAAAATGAATAATTAAATCAAGTTATAAAATTAATAATAAATTAATGATAAAATTAATAATGATAATAATGGAAACATAATGAGAAGCAAAGGAAAAAGGAAAAACAAAAAGTGGAAATTTTGTTCATATAAGCAAGCAATCCAAATTGTAGTTAAAGTTATTTTTTCTAAACCTATATCTATTCGACATGCATTTCAAATTCGTACTTTCTAGGACTTCTCTCGGCGAGACCTTCAAATCACAGGAGAATGAAGACATAGAAAAAACTGGTTCGAGGAGTTATATATAAAAAAGGTAAGAAAAAGGCACGACTTTGTTCCGCTTAAATCTATATTGTTCTACGCAAATTGACACCGACTATCTAATTCCCAGAGTATTTAACGCTTGGACAGAAGTAAACCAGGTTTCATTACCACTAAGCCGCGGATTTACGTTTGCCTCTCTGTATATTTTTGTGAAATGTTGATTACATACAGATGGCTCATGTGCTTGCCAGCAAGGATTATTCGTAGCCTAGTTGACGTTCCTGATTTCCTATTCCTTGAATTGGGCCGAAAATGTTTTTTTTTTAATCCTGGTGACAAAGATATGTTATCATTGTATTGATGTTATGTTTAGTAAGTTGTTATAGAAATTCGACAAGGAAATAAAATGCAAAAGGGACCTTCTCCAAAGTCTCGAGAAGAAAACGGGTGTAAACAGTGTGTAGTTAGGATTAATAACCGACTCCCTTTGGTGACTAAGCACTTGTTAGAAGAGCATCTTGTATTACTTGTATTACAGTGGGTAAGAATGTATTTCTTGCCCATATGCGGCAATGGGGGGTTAATAAACAACCAACTCAGCGTGCGATAAAAAAAAGAAAAAAACATTGTGTATACAAAATCCTTTGAATATTACATCTCAAACTCATTTTCTGTATAGGAATTACAAATTAATAATTATCGCTACATCAAACTGCTTGAGTGTAAATAGATTGTTAAAGGCAAAGAAAGCTTTGTGTGTTTATTCATTACTAAATATATAATAGTCGGTTACAAATTCCAAGTAAACGAGTTAATTTAAGAAATAACCTGCACCAACTGCGAGTAGGAATGTGTTCTTGGTAATAAAGAATTAGCTATATAGATCAGTGATTAGTTTCTGTCTTAGGATTTTACTAGTGTGATACAAAACAAGCCATTAAATGTATTCAATCAAAATGATTTAGGAAATAATGATATTCCTTACTACCAGCTATCTTAATTCCATTAGCATTATATATCTATTTTGGAAATATCATCAGTTGCTATAGTTTTGTAGGGTTATCAATCTCAGAATATATTATGATCCTGTATAGTGGTTAAATAACATCAGAGGTGTGGCCTACAATTTCCTGGGGGCTTAACTAATGTAATAAATAATAAAGTATTAAATTGGTGGCTTCTTAAACATTTGATGTCCCCCTACCGAATTCTCGTCAGACCATTGCTTACCTTTATTACATTCAGGAATCAAAAATCATCTATGTTAACTGGTAATAGACATTACTGTTACATTATGTATGGTAATTATATTTGCTTTTTAATAAAATATGCGAGAATCCCTAGCGGGAGGGGGACTTACATTATGCCAAGGGAGTTATTACTTTTAGAAAGTACCTTGTTTAATTGCCAGAAACCACCACTTGGGTAATTGCCCTAGTGCTGTGAAAACATTGTTGTATTAGTCTCCTTTGAAGATCGGCCAACAATATTTTTATGAAGTTTCAGGAGTGAACAATGCCATTTATGTGGCAATTTCATACTAGAATTTTACATAGTTAATTATACTCATGGGAATTATTCCTGTTTATCATATTTGACGATGAACTTTGGCATGTTTTCTGATCTACTGTCGGAGGTCATAAAAGCATGCCCTGTGGCAGGATTGGGGTGGGAGGTCGAACCATCGATGAGTTGCCTCTGGTATAAGTACCACTGCAACTTGGCACAAAAGGTATTTCATTCCTGAAACCTGGTGTCCACAGTTTTGATTATGTAGTAGGAGCATCAGTTGAGAAAATAAGTCAACGACATATGCTTGTCCACTGCTTGAACCATGAAGACGCCACCAGTCAAAGTGTTCGGCACAGATCTAGAAACAAACATTATGATTTGTTCCCTGGAATAAGTGGTCGGATATACCTACTTTCGTTTTGTCACTAGGCATGGATGACTTCTTCAGTAATTTTGTTTCAAATGCCAGCCATAAGTTTGGAATTCTGTACCCTTTCAATTTGATGACGTTGGATGTAGAAATACGGCATTCAAAGAGCAGTGGGACTGTTTGGGTATTCACTCGATGGACGGGCAAAAGTTTACATACGGACCGTTCTTCAGGCTGCATTATCTCCATGACGAATGAAAGGTCTTTGGGCGTCACATCTTCAGAGTCTTCATCTGGTCCTTTTAGGTGTGGCTCAGGCGTAGTCTAACCTGCCTTACTACATTAGTTTTTTTGGTAGTCTGAGTCATACTCTTGAAACTAAAACATAGTGGAAAGCTGTACTCTTGATTGAATAATGTGGATGCCGGATTTTGGCGGTACTCCTCTCTCAATGCTTTAGATGTTGCATTTTACTATTCAAATTGTTCCTCTGTTGTATCAGAGAGTCCATAGTGTACCCAGTTCTTTCTTTATATCCAAAAGATACCAAATGAATTTGGATGGCTTCTAATCTCTTGTCCATCAATTTATACTGTGTACATAACTGCGTATTTTCAGTATCTGACTTTTAGATGAATTAGTCAGACTCATTGAACTGAAACTGGCTGTCCAGGTATCACGTCCCATCAGTATAAGAAGACCTCTAGCTGAAGCCCTCAGATGAGTAGGATCTAACCGAGGTAAATCGACACAGTCCTCATCAGGATTGCAAAAGGAGCGTTCCAAAGTGATCACCTGCTGTTCTGGCAAATTATACCAATATTCGTTCTGTTTCATCACTTGCCAGTGGAAATGCTCACTTGAATGAAGTCTCTTGCAGCCTGAGCCTTCATCCCTACACATTCCTTCAACTGAGTAATAGCAAATCTCTGGGACAGCCACATTTCCTTGAACATCCTGTGTCCAATACGTCTTTATTGATACTGGAGTACTTTTAGGTAGAGATGTGCTTGAAGTATGGGAATGCTTTAATTTTGTTGTATTGCTGTCAGCAATTTTGGTGGTCTTGCTTGGAACACTATCTTCATTCGTTTTTTCAGATTTTAGACTACTTGTAGACTGAACATCATTTTCATCATCTGAGGAAGCATCATCAGAATCTTTGGACATGTAACCCTCATTCGTCACTGGAATTTTCAGATTCTTCCTTCCGTTTTTCCAGAATCTTTGGACATATAACCCTCATTCGTCACTGGAAATTCAGAGTCTTCCTTCCGTTTTTCAGAATCTTTGGACATATAACCCTCATTCGTCACTGGAATTTCAGATTCTTCCTTCCGTTTTTCGGTGTTTTTAGATTCACCTTTATTCACTGATTTGGTTTCATGTGAACCAACAGTATTTTGTTTCGTATCCTGCTGAAGAATTTCGGAATTTGCAGCTAATATTGCTACAACAATATCACGTGGGGTTCATTGGTTGAGAAGCCATGTGCAGAGAGAACTTTACAGCACTGAGGAGTCAGCGGGTCATGATTTAATTTGACATTTTTGTTGCTGACATCTAGTTCGACATGCAACAAAACTTGACATATATGAAGTGAAGTACAGTCATCTTGGATGCAACCTTTCGTGTTGTATTCAAAACAAATAGCTATTTTACCAACAGGAGCCACAGTATGTAAAGGCTGAACCAAAATCTTTTGCAAGATTGGCACAGGGATATGCTCTATGAAATATGAACGAAGGACAGCAATATTGTGATCGGTACGCCACTTATGGCCAAAGACACAGTAAGAATCCTTGCACAAATTTCTGATGTATTGCTGACAAATGTGTATGTTCCTACAGGCACTTCGGTCCCGGCATCCCTCAGGGTCTGAGTGATGAGAGCATACTACAATTTCTGGTCGCAGTTCCACCTTTTCTCCATTTAGGTCAAAAACCTTCGGATACTGGGTCACAGTTTTCTCTTACTGCTGAGGCGAGAGACACCACTGCTCCATGAGCTCTAGCAGGCTTGCAGTTAAATCACGTGACTTGATTAACGCATCCACAAGTACCTTTGGGTTCAAGGCAACGGGTGGATTCGGGCTCCAGGGTTCTTCCTCGTACTGACGGAGAGGGTCTGGCTGTCCCAATATCGCTGAGGTTGGTAGCTCCCATCACGATTCCAATTTTTACCTCGACTCCGACCTCGACTTTGAAACCGACCTCGACCTCGGCCACGTTCTTGAGCTGTACCTCGATTCGGATTTCGATCTATACCTGAACCACGACCTCTGAATTTAGGATTAAGATTCTGAAATACAGAAAAGAAATCAGGATTATTTTTGACACACACGAAAAAGTAATTGTGCTACTACTAATAAAAAATCAACTGTATGAACACAAATAAATAATATAAAACCAAGAACCTACATTACGAGAGCTATTTTGGTTGCCGAGTGGCGAAGGGGCTGAAGAGCATCTTCGGTTCCCTTTACTCCTTCCTGTGCTTCGGGCTTCAAAATCATCGCCATCGAAGGGCGATCGAGCGTTCCTTACTGTAAGTCCAGGAGTAAGATTAGAGAAAAATACTTCAAATGAAAATGAATAAATATAAGAAGATCTGTAAACTTGTTTCTAGGAATTCGTCCGTAGGGAGCTTATTCCATTATTCCTTAAAAATAAGCATATGCACAGATACTGAAAACCAGTATTTATATATATATATTATATATAATATATATTATATATAATATATATATATATATAGATATATATATATATACTAATATACATATATACATATATACACACAAACACACACACACACACACATATATATATATATATATATATATATATATATATATATATATATATATATATATCCATACACACACACACACATATATAACAATGCAAGCCATACTTTATAAGCTGCACTAAATGTTTCCTTTATATTGTCTTTGTATGTTAAAAGAGCGTGCTTATATATGTTTATATATAAAATATACTAAAATCATATATATATATAAATAATTAAAAATAAATATATATATATACGTACATATACGTATGTATGTATGTAAGTATGAATGTGTATGTATATATGTACACACATGTACGCAATCACAAAGCTGTGGCGCGTTACGTGGTCTCCACCAAGATGGCGGTGATGTTGTCAAAATAATCCGCCTTCAAATTTTGGCGCGAGCCAAGCAATAGGTTGCTTGTTCCATTCATTTTTTTCTTTAGTGTGATACACACACACACACACACACACACAACACACACACACACACACACACAACACACACACTCACACAACACACATAATATAAATATTTATACATACACTATTTAGTATATGTTTGTTTGTATTGTATGTATTAAGAAAATATATATATATTTATATATATTTATATATATATATGTATGGATATATATAACAAATACATATTGATAGATAGTTAAATAGTATAGAGATTTATTATATTATTTATAGATATTTACACACACACAACACACACATATTATATAGTACAGACAAATCATCAGAAAATGACAGCAGAATACGTACACCCCAAAATCAGGCGCGTTCTAAACAGGTTCCCATAAAGTGACAATCTATAATCACCCATACGACAAATCCGCCAGATAATACCATGTATAGGCTGAAATGATGAAAACACTACGTGTTGTTTCTATGGTAAGAAAAAACACAATGTAAAATATGGGCGTTCATGTAAACAGTGTTTGTAAACGTTTTGTGCACGAGTATGTGCGTGACTGTAGTGTATCTTTGTGTAAGTGTATATAAAACCGCACGTGCATGCAGCAATGCAACATGTGCGTCTAAAATGCATAATTGGGCAGTACGCGGGCATGGAATATACAGGTTTGTGTGTTTAATTTATCTGTAAAGTTTATATTATTAGTATAGTTTATGTGTAAGAATCACAAGAATAGTGTGGTAGTGTGAGTTTCACGGGTTGCTCGTACATGAGTATAGGTCGGTCGAGACATATATTTTTGTGATATATGTTGTGTATGTTGTGTGTGTTTGTGTGTGTGTTTATGGAATATGGTCACAAAGCGTGCAGCTTATATGAAATGTATGCACAGGGGTATACATTATATCTGTGTATATGTGTTTATATACTGTTGCGTACATGTCTTATATGTGTATGCAATGTGCATTTGGTAGTTTTGTCAATGTAGTAGTGTGTATGCTATCTAACGTGCATGATAATAAGTGTAATGCGTAAAAGTGTGTGCTAAGATACATAAGTATGAGTTTGTGCGGGTGAACAACTGTGTCTGAACTAGTTACACAATCATAATGAGAAATCCATTTATTGCGCATGGGATTGGGTGTATAAAGATTTACCCTGGTGACAAAGCCCGTTGCGATCGAGTCCACACTAGGCAAGAGGGCCAACCCTGCGGGAGGGCTTGATAGTGGCAACGGCTAAATTACCCCCCCCCCTCCTTCGATTCAGGTCGTTTGGAGCTGAGCGTGTATAAAATCTGCGGTGTTTAATAGTCAGGCCAGGCGCCCACGTTGGATGAACCTTTGCACACACAATATTTACGAATATAATAAACGATATATATATAATTATATTATATATATGATATATATATATATATATATATATTATATATATTGTACTATATATAGTATTATATATATATATGTATATTTATATATTTGGTTTATTGTTTATATAATCATTTTATTGTGTCGTTGCAAAGGGATCAGCAACGTTATATATATATATATATTTTTATATATATTATTTATATTTATTTTACCTTAAATTTTTGCTCTATATATATATAGTGAGTATATAATATATATTTATTATATATATATATAGATTTTTATATATTATATTATAGATATATATTTATATATTTAAAGTGGTATATTATATATATATTATTTTATTTTTATATATATATTATTATATTTATCTATAGTGTATATATATATATATATACATATAGTGTGTATGTGTTATATATATATTTTATATAGATTATATATAGATATATATATATATATAGCTGTATAAATTTAAAATAATTATTTATATACTTATTGATAATATTATATTTTTTTTTTCTAATGCCATGAATTTCACTGCTGGAACACAGTCCTCTATCAATTCAGTATTAGAGAGATTATATGGCAGTGTCACCCTTGCCTGATTGGATGAACTTCTAATCAACCGTGGTTCGGCGCGTTAAACACTTGTGCCACAGCGGTGGACTTCCTCTTACGACACCCTGCGTTTGATTCTCAGACGTTTTGCCGGTTCTCGGACTCGAGGTAGCAGTCAGAAGCAGGCATTTTTTCGATGCCGCGACGGGGGTATTGAGTCTAGTGCCTATATCCAATGACCTATGCGGAAGTTTATATAGTGTGTGTGTACATATATATATATATATTATTATTTATATATATATATATTATAAAATTATATATTTTTATATATATACTATATAATAATTTATATATATTACTTATAATATACTAAATAGTAATATATATAATATATATAAATAAATAGTATATATATATACATATTTATTACATACACAAATACACACACACAATCGCTCTTGACCTAGCTCGAACCTAGGTCACTCGTGGTATGAAACCAGTAATAAACCAACCATGCCTCGGACCCATTAAGAGGACTGTGCAACTTGGTGCTGTGGGTGGATTAATAGATTTCTATATCAAACGTGGCTTGTATTATTTTTCCAAAGTTCATATGTATACTCAGTAATATCCTGGAGTTGGGTTTGTATATCTTCTACATCAATTTCCACCGAAGAGCGCACGGGAGAGTGTGTGTAAAACTCACTATCAGGTTGGTTATGTCTATGGAGCTAGTTAGATCCCAGTTTGCACATCATTTTAGTGGGTGGCGTGGCATGGTTAGCATGTTATTTGCTTGTCTGTCTGTCCTGTCTTCTGTATATAAGTATGTATTTATAAATGTATGAATAGATTTATCATATATATATATTTATATAATATTTATATATATATATGTATTGTATGTATGTTTGTATGTATATTTATATATGTATATATATATGTATATATATCTTGTATATATATATATGTTTATTTATATATGTATATATATATATGTATGTATTATATATGTATATATATTTGTATGTATGTATTATATATATATATATATATATAAGTATATATATATGTAATATTTTTATATATTTATATATATTTTCTTATATATGTATATATATATGTATATTTTTATGTTATATATATGTTTATAGTTTATGTATATATATGTATATTCTCTAATCATCATTAAGGGGGCATACGCATGGCTGCGCTTTGCCTGCGCCAAACTTTGCTACATCTCCTGGGGGTCCCTCCGAGCGGGAGCTCATTGCAGCATTCCTTCCCACTCCCAGTACCATCTTGGCAGGATCTATCGTCTTGCTTCAGCCATGTGTTCCGTGGCCTTCCCCTTGGTTTTCTCCGCCTGGGTCAACCCTCTCGGAGATTGACCCTATGAGCCGGATCTCCTTCTGAGAAACGAGCCAATGTCCATAGGCTGAATGTTTGGCGCTATCGGTATCAGACTGTTTAATAGGTCATTGAAGCAGTCTCATGGGTATCCTATGATTGGAAATGGGCCCTCCAGGTATACCATGATTCTGCGAAGACACTTAGTACCGAAGGAGTTAAGACGGCTTTCAGAGCACTGTTCAGGGCCAGGTCTCACCACCGTAGTGCAAGACACGGGATCACCAGTGCGCCTGAAGTGCCTGATTCTTAGTTCTCCTAGTCAAATACCGACAGCGCCAAATACTCCTATTGTGTGAGTCCATATCGCTGTAGGCCAGTCCGTGTCGTGTGTGACTGTCCCGGTCGGAACCTTCCGTCGCTTGCATACACTTAAGCTAAGGGATAGCTATCCAAGACCTCAAGTTCTCGACACAGGATGCACAGAACTGAACATCGACATCCAAAAAGTCCCAAATTCCTGAACCTTGGTTTCTTGGTCCAGTTGACGCGAGTCCAGTGGCTTTGCTCCTCATGCAGCGCCTCGAGAGGATACTTCCAGGACCTCTAATGTCTCGCTAGAATCTCTGCATCTTTGGCAAAGTCAAGGTCTGTGACCTTGAAATTACCAATGATGGCCCCACAGGGACTACGGTCATGGTGGGGTTACGGCCAAAGTATCCAGTCAATACAAGTGTTTGAAATGGGTTGGGGCCAGGGAACATCCCTGTCTCACCGGCAGACACGGAAAAGGCAAGATTTTCCCTCCACAAGCTTGACAGGCACTCTCAGTATCTGTTATTCAGGCCAGAAGCAAACCAATAAATTCAGGGGGGATCCCACGGAGTACCTGTAGGCTCCAGAGCTCTACCCGGATGCCACTGATGTGGAAAGCCTTCTTGAGATTCAACATTAGCTGCAAGAATTACCCTTGTGAACTCAAGTCGGCGTTACACAAGGACACTGAAGTGCTAAGACACGGTCTATAGTTGAGCT